AGCTGTTGCATAAAAACTGTAATACATTGCTGAGAAAATTAAAGGAGACCTAAGGAAGTTGAGGTTATTTCGCGGACAATATTCAGTAACATTAAATACAAGATCAAATTAATTTACTGATTTAAGCTATCCTAATGAAAATCCCAGCTGGATTTTGTGAAAATTGACGTTTCTAACACTCATATGGGAACACAAGATTAATAACCAAAATAACTTTGAAAAACAATTATTTAAAAGAATCACACTGCCTAATCTCAAGATAGCATTTGGATGATATCTGACCTTATAGATAACAGTGTGCTAATGTTACAGTAATCAAGGCAGAGCAGCACTGATATCAACATAATTAGATCAATGGAACAGAATCAAGTCCAGAAATAAATGCATAAATATAGGGACAACTGATTTTGGGCAAAATGCAAGTGGAGAAAGAAGAGGTTTGTCAGCAAATGGTGCTGGAATACTTGGATACTGTTATGGCCCCAAAATGAACTTTGACATGTAATTTGTACCATATACAAAAATTTAGTCAAAATGGATCACAGCCCTAACCATGAGAACTAAAACTATAAAAGTTTTAGAAGCCAGGTATAGTGGTACAAGCCTGCAATCCCAGCATTGAGGAGGTAAGAGGATAGCCATCAGTTCAAGGCCAGCCTGAACTACAAAGTGAAACTTTGTCACAAAAAACTAGAAAACTAAGTTTTAGAAATAATAATAGTACAGAATCTTTGTCACCTTGGTCATAGAAATTTTGTGTACACAATATCGAAGCCCAAGTGGTAAAATAATTGCTATTAGTCAATGAAAATTAAAAATATCTTCTCTGCAAGACATTTTTAAGAGAATAATACAACAGATTGGGAAAAATATCTGCACAATATATAACTAGGAACACTTTAGCCACTTAAAAATCAAAAATCCAATTTTTTAAATGGGCAAAAGATTTATACATACCTCACCAAAAAATTGATGGCAAACATGTATATGAAAAATGTTGAACATCATCAGAGAAATTAAATGCAAATTAGAATTGTGAGCTATGGATAAAATTCAAAATACTAACCATACCAAGTACTAGCAAGGATGTGCAGGAACCATAACCCTCATACACAATTTGAAGAATGTAAAAATGGTACAAAAACTGGAAAACATACCTATCATATGATCCAGCTATTCCACTCATATATACCTGGAATAAAAGTGTATCTCCATAGAAATACTTGTGAATTTTCAGTGGCTTTACTTGTAATAATTAAAACTTTAACGGTGCTGTCAACTTTGGAAAAAGTTATCCTAATTTACTGTGTTGAGGTGGCATTGTACAGAAATGGACAGCCATATTGGTCTAGAAATGTAAATTTTTTTATTTTCATTTTTTATTTTTTTTATTCCATGTGTACAGGGGTAACACATTGTACTAAATATGTAAGGTCATATCTATGTGGGTTTGATTACAGAAACTAATAAAGTATCCTCTAAATAATGAAAAAAATAAGACTACAAGAACAAGAAGCAATTTAAATATGTTCAGGGACCATTTTCATCTCCAGAATTAAGGATTATTTTGATGTTACATCATTGCCTTTTCTCTTTTACTTTCCTTTTTAATTTTATTTTAGGATTCCCTATTTTTAATGTTCATACAGAGATTTCTTTAACTGAAATACTGAATAGTTTCTCTGATTTGAAAAACTATAATAGTACACAGGATCCTAATGAGATAATTAATAATGTGAAATAGGAAGTAAAGGGCTAAAGGTGTAGGGAAAGTGGGAAAGGTGGGGGAAAGGTAATAAGGGAGAGGAAAAAATATGAGAAACTGAAAAAATGGAAATAAAGTGTTTGTAAATGGGGAGGGGAGGAGGGGGTGAAGGGAGGGCAGGGACAAGGGGAAAAAATGAGAATCAAGACCTATTATGTAAAGGTACAGGATCCCAATGATGAATGTAACTGTATTGTATACCTAGATTGTACCAATAAACTCAATAAAAATAAAATAAATTGACCATAAATGTGTATCCAACAGTTGAATGGATATTGTAGTCATTTAGTGGACTATTAATTGGCAATAAAAATTAATGTACTTAAAGACAACATGAACTTCAATTACCCTGAAAAGCCGAATTCCTCACTTCCAAAAGAGTACATGCTGTATGATTCCATTTATATTTCATTACAAAAGTACAAATATTCTATGTAATTAGAAAGCAGATCAGTAGTTGCCTGGGGTTATGGGGACACAGACAGAAATGAGATGGACTGTAAAGATGCATTAAGACACTTTCACGGGTGGTGCATATATTCATCATTTTAATTGTGCTTATGCTTTAATATACATGTAAAAACTGATCAAATTGTATACTTTATTCAATTCAATGTATGTCAAGTTTATCTCAATAAAGCTTTTAAATACAATTCATTGTGAGCCAGATGTGATGGTACATGACTGTGAGCCCAGCAAGTGGAGGTTGAGATAGATGTATGTCAAGTTTGATACCAGAATGGAAACTTAGTAACTCAGCAAGAACCTGTCTCAAAAATAAAAATACACAAAATGGCTGGGGATGTAGCTCAATGCCAAAGGTTCTGGGCTCAGTCCCCAGTACTACCCCCAAAAAGGCATAAAATAGTATTTGGATATTTCACCTTGTAGATAACAGTGTAAGTAGTTTTCCCTGTGAGTTGTATAGGCCTTTGCACCTACTCCATTAAGCTAACCTGGGGAAAGTATCCAATAGCTGATTTGGCCTGGGAGAGGGTACAACCTTTCACTTTGAGTTAATCACAAATACGGCTTGTTTGGTTAGGACACCTTGAATTCAAATCAATCTACAATCATTTTACTACTAGTTCCAATAAGCTTTAATAAGGGCAGAATACAATTCAACTTTGTTACTATACATTTAGTCATACAGTGGATATAAAATATGCAAAACTTAATATTAAAAACAAACCATTTGGTAGATCTGTGTAATACTAAATTGCAAAGAAAACTTCAAAAGAGGTGAGTTGCTAAATACTATAGTTCTATTTTTACAAAAGAAAAATTTTATGCATACTGTCTTAGTTACTTTCTGATTATTGAGACACAATACTCAATATTCACATCTGTGAAGTGGAAAGGTTTATTCTGGCTCAGTTTGTAGAGGTTTCAGTCCATAGTCAGCTGGCTTAAAGGCAGGGAAGCATGGCAAAGGAGAAACCACCCATGGCATGGCTGGCAGAAAGGAGGCAGACCAAGGAAGGATGCACCATTCTAGGCCACACCCCCAGTGACCCACCTCCTCAGACCAGACCACCTCCTAACATCTCATTTGGCTACAAACTCATCAATGGACTATTCTGGTGAGTACAGTATCATACCCTTATGATCCAATCACCTCCCCAAACCCCTACCTATGAGCGCATGAGGCTTTGGAGGTACAACTAGTAAATCTTAACACATACTGTATATTTAAGAGAATATGCAATGAGGATTACAACATAATATGGCAACTATAAAAAGAAAAGCAGTAAGTGATTCAAAAGTATTTTACAGAACCATATTTATTGACATAGAAAGATGTTCACAATATATAATAAGTGGAGGGGACAAGTTACAAATAGTATTTATAGTACCATCTTGTTTTGATTTCTTACATGAAAATATCAAAAGCATATACTTGATGGTTTTATACATAAAGACTTTTTCCACAGCTCAGACCAGGGGTTGTAATTCCTTCTAAATCTGATAACCTCAACCAAATTCCTGAAATGTTTTCTGGGCAACAGAGACTTCTAGGAATCATTATCTTGTAGTTTGAGACAGTATCCTCTCCCCTTGATTTTCTGTTCTATATTGGTGGAACTTCAGTTATGGATTCAAATATCTCTAATTAAGTTTATTCTGTTTTAGCTAGTACAAATGCAAATTGGGCTTGCCTGTTAGTAAAAGATGGAGTTCTTTGGACTTTCATTTATGTGACACAGAATAAGTCATAAAAAGGTAAAGTATGATTTTTCAAGAGAAAGAAAGCAGCTACCTTTTAAATGCGAGGTACGAAACAATGTTTAAAACAATGCCAGCTCTTTAAAATAAAAAGAACACATGGATAGAAAAAGGTAGGGTATACAATATTATATTTCCTTATGTGATCCACACCTACATCTTATTCGTTGAACAAAGTTTTGAATACCTAGCATTTCCCAGATACTGCCAGGCAAAATACGTACATCCATCTCAGAGTTTTCTCCTGCTCTCCAGTCAACTATAGCCAAACGTCTAAAGGACAAGTGCATCTGGAGGAAGTTAAGAATTGTAACACCTTGAAGAGACATCATCCACCACAAAGTTAAACCATTAAACCAAATGCTCTCTGAACTTTGAATGCCACTACCTAAAAAACTGAAGGACTGTAAGGTGATGTCGAGAGATGGGGGTCAATGTCAGACAAAACAGCTATGTCAACTGCCTGTTAATGAGGGTCTAGAAAAATGTATTTAACCATTGTAATTCTCCTTGAAGGATGCCCAGAATGAGTTCTAATAAAAAATATGTGTACGACATTCACAGGATCACTGCAAGAGGAAAAAATTTGCAAAATATAGTGCCAACACAATGTCTAATGAAGAGCACTCAATAAATCTTCTCCCCATGCCTACCTCCATTTTATGTAAAGTAACTTTGACACAATGAAACTGCCTAACAATTTAAGAGTTGTAAATGCAGTAATAAAAATTTTTAAAGTTAACAAACATCACATTTTGTCTAAGATTCAATTATTTCTGTTTTAAATGAGTTGATATATTTGGAACAGGGGGAAGACAGAAATCCCTTATGATAACCCCTGCCTCCTAAATGTACTGATAGAAAACACATAAACATAACACACATACATCTGTAGGTAATACTATTTTTGTGTCCACACCTTATTTCTGTAAGTCGATTACAAATTCAACATTTTTCTTTTTCTTTTTTTTTAATTTTTTTCATCTGGTACCAGGGATTGAACTCAGGACCTTGTCTTTGCAAGGCAGGCGCAGCACCACTGAGCTAAATCCCCAGCCCCAACATTTTCTTTTTTGCCATTTGAAACTACAAATGAATCTAAGCAGATACTAATGATGAAGCTAAGCTTATTTATAGTGAACTGGCTTACTTTAAGTAAAATTTTAAATATGCCAATCTAGACAACATAAAAGCAACAAATATTTTCAGATGTTAGTATTCATTTGATGCACAAAAAAAATGTTCTAGCTGAGAGCTACACCCTCACAGGTAACACTGTTGAGGATGTAATGTATAATGTGTACACTATAATAAAAATTACGCAATGATCTTTAGAAATGTACAGCCTTTTCGAATCTGGAGATAATTCAGTGTTCTCTTTCATTTCTGGATCATTTTACATTGTTTCAATAATCTCTTTAACTTCACGGAAAATGGCCATAAGTGTATTATAACTCAAGTGATCAACAACTACAATTGAGCCCTTTCTTATATGCTCCTTTATGTTAATAAAAATGGCCACAGCACTAACAAGATTGGCTTTTGCCTCTTTCTGGTTAAAGATGAGTTTTAATGCTGCCAATGCCTTCATACTAATCAGGTCTCTGGCTGCAGTTGGATTTTCAGACATATTCAAAAGTACTTTCAAAACAAGATTTCTGGTTTTACGATTTCCCTGAGACAGCAAATGGAAAAGCTCTGAAAAGTAACTAGCAACAATATAGTGATGGACAGATTCAGTAGTCAGTTGCCCAAGTATCTTTAATCCTGTTTGCTGTCCAGGTGAGTTTAAAGGGAAAGACACAGTTTCCTTACACATATGCTTAACATGTAATTCAATCTTGCGTTGTCTTTCATCCCCAGAAAGAGGATTCAGAGTAATTACAGTCTTTTTCCTTCTTTCAGGGGAAGGAAAAGTAAGCAAGCTTTCAATAAGTGTTACTACACCCACTTCATTAATGAATTCTTGGGCAAATGGATGAACATTATGGATACCCATTGCAATCTGTGCTATTTTATGAATGAGAGGATCGGTGGTCGACTTCAGTATACTAACAAGTTTTTCAAATTCCTCAGAATCCAAGTAGCATTCCATTTTGCAAGGACAAGCAAATGGCTTAATCCCATTCACCTCCCTGATCTTAATTTGTTGCCTAATTTCATCTATGGTCTGGATGCAAGGGTCAGAACCAAATGGGGACTCAGGAATAGGCTGTGAGCTTGAGCAAGTGTTCCTAGAAGAACAGGCTGCTGCTGCAGGAGAATGAGTACTATCTTCAGTTGAGGAAACAACAATATATGAAGAGGGCCTTGTCTCAGATGGGACTTGGGATCTAAATCCTAACACTGCTGGTGTTACAGCAGGGGCTTTGGGCCAGATAGTAACCTCAGACCAGTCCTTGGGTCTGTTTTTTTGATTAATTGCATCCACAGGCTGAGGTCTAACTATCCTGTATACAGGTTTGGGCTCAGGGTCAAAACTAGTTTCATCTCCTTCCCAAAACCAGTTCCCTATAACATTCTCTTCCTCATCATCAACCCCTGACATAGATTTACAACTGGCCCCAGCCACAGACTCCAACTTGTCAGCACAGACCTGGGCACTGGTATCACCTTTATTTTTATCTTTAGTACTGGAATGATTACCAGACTCTTCTCCCTTCCAGAACCAGGAGCTAATACTGGCCTCTTCCCCGGCCCAGAACCAAGTATCATTACCAGCCTTGTCTTTATATGTGGAGCGGGCAACCTCATTCTCAGCTTTGGAACTGACATCTGCTAAGGCTTTCACTGGAGCCTTAGGTTCTGACAGGACTCGATCCTTCATCTCAGCAACAATCCTGTTTTTAGATATTACCTTCACATCTGTCACTATATCTGCTTTATACCCTGCTTTGGCTTTTGTTTTGGACCTAGTCTTGGCTACTGGTTTGACTGCACCTGTAACCTCCTTCTCTGCTCCAGCTTTACCCTGTACTTTTGCCCTTTTCTCAGTTTTGGCCTGACCTCTAGCCTTACTCTTTGTTCCAGTCATGGTTAAAGCCCAGTTATATAATCTTGTCTAGTCTTGGCCTTGGTTCTCAGCATGTACCAGATAAGTGTCTTTAGAAGTTATTACTTTAGACTTTTTACTACCAAGATGAACTTGGTAGCAAGAGCTAAAGAGTCACTTGTAGGTTTAGAAGTCACACAGTCCCCTGTCCAAACACAACCTTTGTCGATGATATGGCAAGAGTAGAGGCACACTCAGGCTGCAGGAAGATGATGGTTTCTGAGTGCAGACCTGGTGAAGGCAATGATCTTCTACCAATCCAAGGCCACCACAGCTACTAACAGAGATAGACCTGAAGTGAAAGAAAGAAACGGAATTCCAGTCTCCTGCAACTTTGCTTCTTTATGCAGATGGCCACAGAGAAAAGATCATGCAAGTAGAGATGACTTGTACATTAGAAGTTAATTAGCAGAAAACTCACCTATCTCATTTTATCACTTGCATATTCCCACTAAATCCCAACATATCCTACCCAGGTACTACCATTCTTTTATCAACACAACAGGGTTAGCAGATAGTTTTACTAGCATGGGAGAACATAAAAGAGCAGCCAGTCCCTTTGGGTTCATACAGGTACACACCACCAGATACAGCAAGTCTATCCAGAAAGGCTCCATATCAACCTACACTGTTCTGATACAATTTTCTCCTCCCTCCTCACTTCTAGTGTTGCTAAGGCCTACAGCTGACCAACAAGTTGACCTATGGACAAAAATATACAAAGAACGAGAATTTTGAGTGAAACATTGATTTGCACTCTGGTTTTGCCAATACCTGCCTTAACAAATCTAGAATATTGGTTATATAACACATTTCTGATTGCCTTAGTATTCCTCATAGCTTCTTTTTGCATTTTTTGCTTTATATATATGAATTACTTACCATGCTGACTTACACTTATCCCAATAACAATACACAAATAAGAAGGTAGAGGTGTTTGGAAAATTGGAAAATAATGACTCAAAGATATGATCTGGCCTCAGTCATCAACAGTTATCCCATCCCTAATTAACAGAGGTGCTCATGTTCACACTCATACCCACCTTGAATCCAAATAAACAGCTTTCGTTTTGTTTCTTAATTAACTTCCACGTGAGCAGCTACCTAAAGATCTTTGAAGGAAACTAAAACAGGCAAGAAAAGCAGAGAAAAGAAAAACAAAAGACTAAAATGTCTCAACATGATTGACAAGGGTTATGTGTTTTTGCATATTCAAGTAAATGTCTCTCACCTGTTCCTCCCCAATAATTTCCCCAACCATCCCCTCTAAGACCTACACTCTGTAGGTTATACCTCCTCCCAATTCCGAAGTCACCCATTTTCCCAGCAGATTTTATACCTCTATTCCTAGACAAATACATAAAATGCAGGAATAAGAAATAAGCAACCACATTTAGAAAGGAGGTAGTAAACTCAACAGGCACTATCATTTCAAATCATCTATGGTCTCCTTCCCCATGAGTATTTAGATAATACCTTATTTACTACTAATGCCAACCTGCTCACAAAGCAAGGGTTCTCAGGAGATGCTATCTTTCCAACTAAAAATAATCTTAAGGGTGAAGAAAAGTCACAACTACAGAAAGACATTCAGCAAAACATCAAGAAAATAGGCTGACAATGCTAGAAAAGTATCAGGTTAATGGATAGATTTTTCAGAATTAAAATTCAGAAACCTTTGTGACGGTCTGGAACAATGTAAATTAACTCCAGGAATTCTCAAGGCTCCTCGGATAACCGTGGGTCACCGTCAGGAAATTTTCTGGAGGAACTGCTTCTGCATAAAGATAAGAGCTCTGAGATGCACGGATTCCTAGAAAAAGAAACTAAAACAGGTTGACTTTAATGTTCTAATATGACTCAAGAAGATACTTCCAGGCTCATTCCCACACATCAAAATATGTAAATTATACTACCCTATTAAGAAAACAGATTCTGAATAAGACAGTTAATACCACAATATTTGTATGCATCTTTGCTGTGAAACGCAACCACGCCTTCTGCTTGATCTAAACTGGGCCTAGAGGCCTAAAATGTAAGACAATAAAACAGTACTACACCAAAAACAGTTTAATATTTCATTTTGGTATCTACATAATCCAAGCTTTACTGCTCATATTCCCAAGAATTCACCAGGCCTACAAAGCAGCCAAGTCTCTGACTTCAACAGGAGCCTGTGGGAAGGGCCAGTACCCCGGACACCGGGGATCTAAACTGGGCCTAGAGGCCTAAAATGTAAGACAATAAAACAGTACTACACCAAAAACAGTTTAATATTTCATTTTGGTATCTACATAATCCAAGCTTTACTGCTCATATTCCCAAGAATTCACCAGGCCTACAAAGCAGCCAAGTCTCTGACTTCAACAGGAGCCTGTGGGAAGGGCCAGTACCCCGGACACCGGGGGT